GCCAATTGGCTGGCTTTTCCGGCTGGCGGGTTTCACCGCGGCTCGTTTCTCTATTTTCATTTAAATTAATTAAATAAATAAATAAGATTTTTTTATTTCATTCATTTCATTCAGGCTAAAGCTTCCAGAGGAGTTCATCATGGAAGATGTCAGGCTACGTTCATTCATTCAGAAGCAAAGAATGCACGCCTGGCTGGGATACGTTTTATTCTTTTTTCTCTAATTTAACAATAAGTAAGAATGCTCACACGCGCACACACACACACAATTACATTAAGTAGCTATATAGGTAGGTTAGATAGACATAATTTAATTGTAGGTAGGATAGATAGGAAACATCCAACACTAATGAAGTTGAATAGGTAGGCGCGTAAGTTTATCGCTTCTATTTTTATCTCGCATCTACATTACACGCATTAGCGTATTACACACACACACACACAGTTGCATACATAAACACATATATTAGTATTTGAGCGTAATTTTATTTTCAATACACATTCTAATTTATTGTTACTAAGGTTGATAGTAATTTAATTTCATAGGTAGTTAAGGGCGATAATGTAATTCTAGGAACAATCTTGTAATGTAAATTAAAACGCTGTAAGTGTATCGATAGGTAGGTTAATTATAAGTTTTATATTATTATTATTATGTCGGAGCCCAAGGCATTACGTAGGTGGTGGGGTGGGTGCCGAAAGGCCAATGAATTGGGCTCTTGAGTTTTGTAATTTTAGGTAAGCTAGGACCGTAATGTAATGAATAGGTAAGTTAAGGCTACGTTGTAACACATACTCATTAATAGATTTAGGGTTTAAGTTTTATACTATTATTACTAAGTTGGAGCCCAAGGCATTACGTAGGTGGTGGGGTGGGTGCCGATTGGCTAAATGAATTGGGCTCTTGAGTTTTGTAATTTTAGGTAAGCTAGGGCTTAATTGTAATGAATAGGTAAGTTGAGGGTACGATAGCCGATTGACTCTGGATTTCAAAGTCTCTTGTCAGAGGTAAGCCTTGGTGGCCAGTGGCAAACCGGCAATGGTTTACTATCCGGACGGCAATGGTTTACTATCTGCACGGTAATGATTTACCATGCGGCACGGCCATAGTCTACTACCCGCACGGCTTCCGGACGGCAAATGGTTTACTATCCGCACGGCAATAGTCTACTATCCGCACGGCAATGGTTTACTATCCGGTGCCCTGGCTGTCGGTGAGCCTCTGTGCAAGGAGGGAGAATGAAGGAGGACTTTCGACTATCGTACCATTAACAATTTAATATAGATTAGCTAAGGTAATTGAATAGGTAGATAAAATTATTTTTATTAAGCAATTTGAGATGCAGGCACCGCTAAGCTTTCTGATGAGAATTTTCTCTTTCTCCATCAACACGGGCTGTGTTTCAACAACAATCTCGATGAGGACTGGCAACAGTTTTGGAGGACAACGTAGGAACCGAACCGCATTCAACATTCTGCCTTTATCGAATGGACGACGGTAAGTTTTTTTTACATTTTAATCACTTTATTATTTTAAAATATTATTTATTTGCCATTGTTTCCATTTTATATTTTTTTGCTCCTAACATTCTAACATTCATTTACTACTACGCTAATAAAAAAAATTTGTCTACAGGATGATGAGAGGTGGGCAGTGGTGGGAGTCAGCACGTTTCAGATGGTTGTCTCATGATGATTTACGTATGATGATGGTGATGTAGGAAGAATCAGCGCGTTGGCTGTTCGACTGACAATCAGAAGTTCGGATGAAATCATGTGTGCCGACCAGATGATGGTGGTCAGTGCAATGAAGTACTGTAACGACGATTTTTGAACTAAGGTTTAGTAGTTTCGTCTTTTAATTTTTCTCATTGATTGATTGATTGATTCATTCATTCATTCATTTTACCACTCAATCTTTCAAATCATTTTTCCATTAATTTATTTTTTTAATCATTGAATCATTAATTAATTCATTGACTCTTGACTCACTCAGGCATTCAACATTTTGCCTTTGTCGAATGGACGAAAGTAAATTTTGTTTACATTTTACTCTCTTTATTATTTTAAAATATTATTTATTTGCCATTATTTTCATTTTATAATTTTTTTCTTTTAAGATTCTAACATTCATTCATTACTAGGCTAATAAAAAAATTTGTCTACAGAATGATGAGAGGTGGGTTGTGGTGGGCGTCAGCACGTTTCAGATGGTGGTCTCATGATGATCGTTCCGATGACAATTCGAAGATGACAATAAGAAGTTTATTTATTTGCCATTGTTTTCATTTTATAATTTTTTTCTTCTAAGATTCTAACATTCATTTATTACTAGGCTAATAAAAAAATTTGTCTACAGAATGATGAGAGGTGGGTTGTGGCGGGCGTCAGCACGTTTCAGATGGTGGTCTCATGATGATCGTTCCGATGACAATTCGAAGATGACAATAAGAAGTTTCTGGAGAGTAAACGCGCGCACATTTACGCACATACATCAATACAACACACACATACACAACATCCATTCAATCGGTGTCGTTGTTATGTTTCTCTTCAACTTTCTATTTTCTTTACCGGACTTAATTTTATTCATAGGTAAGTTAGGGACTGAGATGAGTTAAACAATTGTAGGTAGGCTAGGGCTTAACATTAGTTAAAAAGCTTCAAGTAAAATAAAAACGCTAAAATATGTTAAATAAAATACTTGAAACATCTAAAACGAAAAATACAAATGAGTCAATGTTTATAAGTAAGCTAGGGCCCTGAGAGTAATTTTATTATAGGTAGGTGACTGACTATTATTCTTGCGACTTACTTCTTACTAGTTTTGTGTGATGTGTTTGTTTTCGCTTCACAACACCACACCAACAAAACAAACTACATTTCATTCTCGTCGTCGCCTTAAATTGTACCTTTTTGAACAATCTTTTTAAAAATGTCTATTTATTCATTAAATGTTGACTGGTTTCTAGTTTTTTTTTTAAATTGGTTATATAATTTTTGGATATTTTTTGATTTACTTTGTATATATGCATGTATAAATTATTTCTGTTTAGTATGTTGATTTAGTAATTATGATATGTTGTGAACTGTTCTTACTAAATGTTCATGTTACGTGGTTTATTATCCTTCAAGAACTTCTAAGGAGTGTGTATGATAATAATAATAATAGATAATAATTATTTTTATCGGTCGATATTTTGTTATATTTGTTTATTTAAAATACGAATTTTTTAAAAAAATTGACATTTTAAAATTTTAATTAACCGTCACTTTTCATTTTTGAATGAATTCAAATAAAAGCAACTGTGTTTTTCTTTCTTTACTAAAATCTCGAAATTGTTTGTAGATCTGTACGGTTAACTGTTCGAGTTTGAACAGGCCTTGCAAATTTTTTTTATTTATTTTTGTTTTTATTTTTGTTTATTTGGTTCATTCAATTTAGTTGATTGATTGATCGGTTGATTGATCGGTTGGTTGATTGATTGACAGACTGGCTGGCTGGCTGACCGACCGACCGATTGTTTGATTGATTTATCTCATAGTAGGTTGTATACATAAGAAAAATTCCGATTTAGCCAACCTACGGCTTCAGTAAGCCACTGTTTTTCACCTGACAAAAGCAATTTCTATATTTATACTGACAAAAATAATTGTGATATGAATATATTGATTTATTTAAAGCATTATATGTACAAAAAAGTGCTATCGTAAGAGTTCTATGAAACCCTGTAAGCCATACTGCTGTAAGCCAACGTATGATTCCAGCAGCCAGTTTCTTATGAGCACCAGCAAAATGTAAAATATTCATTGAATATAATGAAGATAGTTGTTCAAATAACAATTTTGATTTATTTAGGCCGTTTATTTCATAAGCAAACCAATTTTTAACATGATCGAATAGTGTAAAAAGAAAGGGTGACTATAGTTCAATCCTACTAAGCCAACCTTCGGCTTCAGTAAGCCACCGGATTTCACCGGACCAAAAGCAATTTTTATATTCAAATTAACAAAAATAATTTAATATTACATAATTCTATTAATCATTATTAAAATTAAATAGAGTTACTACAATGTTTTAAGCATATTAAATCAAGTAAATATTTCATTTAGCTTGCTCGTTAAAATCCATGCAATTTCGTAAGCCAACAACCCAAGCACGACAAATAGCCCGACCGATAGATCGATTAGTCTTATTATTCTAGTTATGTGGTTTGGAGCAAGGGGAGACATTACTGAAAATAATTAAAAGTTGAAAAAATTGAGGTTCTTTGCATATCCCTGCTTCAACCCATAAGGTGTTGTATGCTGGTAAATAGGCCTCCCCTTGTTTTAAAGCATTTTTATCAATTGTAATCGCATCATTTTCAACCTTCTTAAAATCTATCAAGCTTTAAAGCTTGTTTTAAAGCATTTTTATCAAATGTAATCGTAATTTGATGGCAAATTTCAAAACCAACAGGTATTGAAAAATGGTTAGCCTAGTCAAGCATTCCACCTTTCAAGTATAATACAACCCGGTATGCACTACTCAAAACAATAACAGTGCATGTAAAAAAAAATGTCTACCTAGAACAGAAAACTAGCTTAACACTGGCAAAGCCCTGACATTTAGTAAATTAGTTTTAGTAATTTACTCCGTCCCATCACAAAATCAGTGAACAGCCATCAAATTCAATCAAAAATCTCCCAAGCAATGTTTCTCATAACACTCTCAGTTTGCCCACAAAATCCTAAGAGGTTGGCAATCAGCCTTGAGCATTGGGCACAACCAAAGACCTTGCAAAAGTTACACCTTAGTTTTTGAATATATATTTATATAATCGGCCTCTAGGAGTATCATTTCATTCAAAATAACTTTTACTTTGATAATTTAAAAAACGAAACAAACTTCAATTTTTAAAATATTTCAAATAAATTTTATTAGCCAATATATAATGACAGTCATTTGCAATTCATTTAGAAATCAATCAATCGACAAATGAAAATGAATCGACGTCATCACTCAGCTTCATCTTTGGTTGTTCGAGTGTATATCCACTGAGCGTGGTGTTTCTCTACCAGTTTGATAACTCCTTCAGTGAAAATAAAATTTAAAAAATTTAAGAAAATTTTAAAAACAATTAAAATATAAAAATTTATAGACAACATCCAAAAGAAATAACAAACTAACCACTTTGCTGGAGTTCCTTCAAAGCTGATTTCGCAAGAGAAACTCTAATTTTTAACCTTTCAGAAACAACAGATGGCGTGATGAGCTTGTAGGATTTGACCTCTTTGTACAGTTTGTCATATGTGGCTTTGTCGAACAGGACCAAGTTGTTTAGCTTATCCCTGACTTTTCCTTTGGACCACTTCTACAAGGGTATTTTTAAAAAAAAATTTACATCAGAACCAAAATATTTAAATATTTATTCGTAATTATTTAGTGATTATTTAGTAATATTTAATAAATTTAGTAATGAATAAGCTGGAAAAGAATATCCTCTCCTCAATGAATTAAACATCAATGGTCAATTAGCCACAGCTTTTTTAAGCAATAACATTGACAAGATTAAACTCAAACCAACGATCAAAAACAGCATGTGAAGCGAACCTTCTTTTTGGCCTTTCCTCCAGATCCTCCCTCCTTCTTCTTAGCAGGTGCCGACGAGGCCTTTCCCTTAGTCTGCTGCTGCTTAGGCGGCTGTTACGGAAAAAAAATGAAGTATTTTTTATCGCAAGTATGTTACAAGACGTAATCCCTAATTTACGAGTATTAAATTCATGTTCTGACAAATAATAAAATATAAACGCCACCATGTGTATTGCTGGAAAACGCCGTTGATCAGAAAAATTACAAAAAAAATCAACGCAAAACTGCAACAATACTTAACAGAAGAATTTCACTAATAATATATATTAATATTTGTCTAAAAAATATAATTATTTATTAAAAAAACATAGCGAGAATCCAACACCAACCATTTTCTTGTTGAAAGGAAGTAAAAGAAATAAATATCGTAGAGATACTGAGATATCACATCAAATGGAAAGCCGATGTTTTTTGAAAGTTTCTTCTTGTGAACTTAGAGCAAAAATTACCATAAAAAAAATATATAAATGTCATAACGTTTTAAAACAAACTATTGAAAATTTCAACTGTTTTTTATTTGAAACAATTGTACAAAAATAATAATTTCTAATTTTATCTGGATTTTAAAATAATTTTAAATCCCCGAATGTGATTGTTATCTCAATTAAAGAAGACAATAATTATACCAAGCAGTAATTTCCTTTCATAGATGTCAGTGGTGTTTCAAATTACTCGCAATCAAGAGCACTCTTTAATGAATTTTAAAATCATGAGATCCGCTGTGAAGTTACGTAAGTGATGGAGATGTAGTTAAAGGAGGTAGAGACTGTCAAAAAATCATTTTTAGTATTTTCAGATTTATATTATACAACGAGTAAAATTGTTTACATTTATCATGCGTTACATTGGAGTCGTTCGTTATCCAAAGGGCGTAGAAACGACTTTGCAAAAAATTCAAAGGAATCAGATTAGAATTAAAAACAATCGTGCATGCGGGCCTTAGTCAGTTGCGTGTGAGTGTGGGAAAGTACTACGGAGTCAGACATTCAAGTTTAAATTTTCAAAGTAGCTTTTTATTTCGTATGCTTTTTGAATTATGAGTAATGCGAATTATACGTATCCAAAGTATACAATTTACGTCTAATCAGTCGTGCTGTAGACAGAAATTTGTTTGAAAAACTCTGACGATATTTTTTTTTCGTTTGACAATGATGAAAATGCGATGATGATATGATGATGACGACGACGACAATGATGATGGTGAAGAAGGCAATGAGTAAAATGAGTAGGCGGCAGTGCAAAGTCTTCGCAGACGCAGTCACGAAGGAAACCAAAAAAACGTTTCAACTTGAAATTTTCTTTCTTTTTCATTTCTTTTCATAAGAAAGGACATTTTTGATAAAATGCTTTTATATTTTTTTTGTTGCAAATATTTTCTTCCTTCATTCCGGCCAGTAGCCACCTCCCCATCATTCTCCATTCCACCAGACAAAAGACTAATTAACTTCAACGCAACTGCCCGAGTTCATTCTGATTCGTCATAGTTAGAGGAGACAAACAAACAAGAAAAAACTCAACAAAGACAAGAAAAACATGAAAAAAATCGATTTTTTTTCTCATTCCGGCTCCAATATTTTGAAAATTAGCTTGAAAATAATTCAAGAATGGATGATCCAACACGGAGGTGATCGGTCGACCTATTGAAGGATTTGCACTCGAGAAGAAATTATAGTTGCCTCATAGTATTGCCTTTGTTTGTAGTAGCAGTTAATAATACTCCATTACTACTTTTAATTTTTATGTTTATCATGTTTAAAGTTACTTACTTTCGTACATTGTACATTGTCAATTCCATTGGGAATTACTCAACTCCAGTTATTATCACTTTAGAAAACTTGCCTTCCATCCAAACGTCTACCGTACGAGAGGATGATGGCGTGTGTTTATTATTTTTGTTCACATTTTTGTGGCTTCACATGGCTGCAGTATTATTTTTTTCAATATGATCTTATCTTCCGATTTTTTTCAACTTAAGTATTAAAATAATTAAAAAACTTTATAGCATATAATATAACGCATAATATTAATATATAAATATATATATGCATTATATATTATAGATATTAATTAATAAATTTTAATAAATATTCCACAATAGTTTAATTTTATTTTTAAAAAATAGACAAATTCAACGTCCAAGTATATTTCAGTTCCATTTTATTATTATTCAAACAAGACTCAATATATTCAATATATATATATATATCTATATATATATATATATATATATATATCTATATATATATATATATGTTGGTAATAGACCATAATTTTTACAATATTCTATAAATTCTACATTCGGTAGAATTTATAGAATATTGTAAAAATTATGGTATATTAACGCCAACATTCGGTAGAATTTATAGAATATTGTAAAAAAATATATATATATATATATATATATATATATATATATATAACATAATAATTACTGACACGATAATAATTATAAGAGCATTAATTAGTTATTTGATTAATTAATATCTATATTTAACTGATAAAATATAGTAATAACTTTCAGAAATTCTTATGAACAAATATAATAATAGTAATATTGATAATAATAATAATAATAATAATAATAATAATAATAATAATAATAATTGTATGGATATTTATATCATATCGGCAACATTAACAATAGTTATAATAATAATAATAATAATAATAATAATAACAAATAATAATAATAATAATGATAATAATAAATAAAAATATTGTTAATGATAAAATGGTAACAATGTAACAACTATACGGATGACGATAACGTAAAAGCATATGTGCAACAATCGACCATAACAAACAATTACAGAAAATTATTTAAAATTATTTAAAATTATATATATATATATATATATATATATTACAATATCTATATTTAAAAAATAATAATCATAGTCATAATGACGTCACAAAATTATGGAAACCATTTGCAATAATAACGACATGCCAAAAATTATAGTGAAACCAAATGTTTTTAAAAATTACTATATATATATATATATATATATAATTTTGTTATTATTATTATTATTTAAGTTAAATTGTACGTTTAAATTCTGTGATAATTGTTTTATCACAAAGTCGAAATAAGGTTACAAAGATACAAAACTTAATTTATAACTGTCATAATCACCGTTATCATTGACATAATAACTGCCTGTATTATTATCTTTTCCTTCAAGACATCATTCTAATTTTCATTTAAGATGCAATAGTCATGTTTGTAATCCATTTTTATTATCATTGGTTTAGTAAGGTCATGATAGGATCATCATATCAGGATCGTTTGGAAGCAATTTCATCATTATTATTTCATCATATTCATAAAAATAACATAATCACCATATAGGATCAACATACATCATCACATATCATTATCACCAAATAGAATCAGTATACATCATCACGTATCGTAATCACTTTCATAAAGACATCAACACCACACTTCACAATCGTCATCATTCTCATCATCACCATATATCACGATCATCATCATCATCACCACAGTCGTCCTCATAACCGCCTTAATCACAATAACCATCATAACCACATCATCATCACTAACGCTGATGATGTTATCAAATATATATTAACAGAATTAAAACTGTTAATTTAAATCATGATGTAAAAATTTTAAATATTTTGTACAATGTTATTTTATAGCAAGCAACATGTAGGTGATTTATTAGAGTACATGAGATTGATTTCAAAGTGGATATAAATATATATATATATATATATATACATATATATACATATATATATATATACAAATGACGATATATATATATATATATATATACATTATCACTTACTATGATGAAAATAAATTGAGTATCAAATTGTATGTGTTTGTATGTCTCTTCCTCTCTCTTTCTCTCTATGTGTTTGTGAGTGTGTTTGTGTGGACGGTGATTGACAAAAAGGCTGTGCCATAAATATATGTATTCCAAAAATCTTTGCTAGTTAGATCTAGAAATTTGTTGATAAAAAAAAAAAATAAATTTATTTTTTTTAAATTTTAGAATTTTATTCGCTCCTCAACAATCTGTTGTTGCGTTATTTTTGTGCAAACAGTGATATCATCATCATCATCATCATCATCATCATCATCATCATCATCATCATCATCATCATCCACGTCGTTGCTACAATCATCGATTCCATTGCTATCATCATCACACCATCACCATCATCACCATCACAACAACAATTAAAGGATTAAAGGTATGGCAATTGACATCATCTACATCATCACCATCATCATCGTCGTTGTCATCATCTACATCATCATCAACAACTACATCGTCATCATCATTATTATGTCATGTCAAATATTACAAAGATCGATAGCAAAATGCCATTTATCGATATCAAGGTGTTTTGAACTCCAACATTGTTATCATCATCCTCATCATCATCATTGTTTATGGGCTTTTATTATTATTGTTATTATTTTTGTTATTATTTTTATTATTTTATTATTATTATTATTATTACTATTACTATTGTTCATTCTGATTTATAATTGTTCTATTGATAATTGGTAAAATGAAGAAGACCAACACAGACAGACCACGAATTCAACAATATGAAAGTTATTTTTGAATTTAGAAAAAAAATTACACTCAGAATCAAACATACAAAAGCATACATACATACACACATACATACAAGCTAACAAACATACAATCAAACAAATAAACATACATACAAACATACATACATGCATACAAACAAACATCACAGCATCAAACAAACATACAGTTACTGTTGATCTATTAAAATGATTAAAACTTTTTTGATATTATATAAAATACAATACAATACAATGAATGTTTAGATTACATACAAGAAGAAAAATACATATTTACAAAGATGAATAAAAATTATATATATATATATATATATATATACAAAAAGTTGTATATATATTATATATATATATATGCGTTTGTATGTTTGTATGTGTGTGTGTTTTTTTGTGTATGCGCGCGTTTGTGTGTTTAGTTTTGTGTAAATTCAAAGTAACAGCAACAAATATAATGTAACAACGTATGTATCAATAGTAGATGGTGCGCGCATTTTGCGGTAACAATTATAATATAGCAACAACAGCAACAACAACAATATTAACATTTACAACAACAACAATAATAATAATTATTATTATGATAATAATAATAATAATAATAATAATAATAATATTATGTTATTATTATTATTGTTATTAACAAGTTGACATTATAAAGTTGTGTGAAAAATATAACATAAAACAAATGAAATCATAGCTATTATAATAATTATTATAATAACAACTATAATAACAATAATAATAATAACAATAATAACAATATTAATTATATTTAAATATTATTATTATAATCAGAAACATAATGAAAATCAATCTACCCTGAAACGAAGGTTTTATGTATATATAAATATATATATATATATATTTATATATATATTTATATATAGCATATGAGTTTATATAAATATTGTAATGAACTAATGTGTAAATGTATATATAATTATATATATAAATATATATATATATATATATATATATTTATTTATTTATTTATGTGTATGTGTGTGTGTTTGTGAGCGTGAATGTGTGACTGTGACAAACACTTAACCTATATAAGTAGTACAAATCGCAAACTTACGGTATATATATATATATATATATATATATATATATATATATATATATATATATATATATATACTGTTATAATTAACAGCCCTAGTATATTCATAATTATAGCAATAATATTAGTTGTAAAATGTTAGTATTAAAATTAGTAGTATATAATTTTGTTAGTAGTGGCAGTAGTAGTAGTAGTAGTAGTAGTAGTAGTAGTAGTAGTAGTAGTAGTAGTAGTAGTAGTAGTAGTAGTAGTAGTAGTAGTAGTAGTAGTAGTAGTAGTAGTAACATCAGTAGTGGTAGTAGTAGTAGTAGTAGTAGTAGTTTTTCGGTTATATATATATTTATATTATTGTGTAAGTTATTGTGTTTGCTTCAAAAATCGATAGCACTATCAATATGGTCAATTGTTGTTCATTTGTAGTTTTAACCCTATCACAATCACAGCATCATCATCAGCGTTATATTCATTATCATCGCCATAATCGTAACCACCATAATCATAACCACCATAAACATGATCGTCATCATCATAATCATCACCACTGCCGTCAGTGTCGCCACGTCATCGTCGTCGCAACTAATTATATTTTCAGTAATTGATATACAGACAATAAAAGCAATCATTAATATGACCACTCAAGTATGTAGTTTACTGAATGTATGTGCGTGTCTGTGTGTGTGTGCGAGCGTGAAAATATGCATGTACGTTCTGTATGTTCATGTTTGTATGCACGCATTTCTAACTCTTAATATGTCCATTAGTTCTGTCATGCACTTACTTGAAACACGTACACTTGCACGTTTCATACAAACACACACACGCACGCACGCACGCACGCACACACGCAAGCATATAAAAGTATACGTATTTGTGTGCCCGTGTAAGCATACAACAAAGGTATGTATCACACCAACGTAGTACTACGTACGTGTGTGTGATTGCACACGTGCACACACGTGCACAAACAAAAATTACAGAAACTATCCAAGCGAGACCGTTAATATAAATTATGGTGCTGAATATTAATTGAATGGCAAACTATATCGAGGGTTCAGTCAGTGCATTTTGTGTTTGTCTGTGCGTGCGTGCGTGCGTGTGTGTGTGTGTATGTATTAATGTGTATGTTCGTTTGTGTTCGTATATGTTTGTGCTTTTTTTGTATGTGCGTGTATACAATACAGACGTCTGTACACATGTTTTTTTTAGTGTTAGTTAGTTATGTGCGTCAGCTATTTTGTTTGTTTAGAATTTTTTTTCTATGTTTAAATGTGTTTTTTATTCTGCGTCATATAGTCATCCTCTTTGATGTGCGTTTTGTATGTATGTGTGTGTGTGTGTATGTATGTGTGTGTGTGTGCGTGTAGGTGTGGAAGTGATTATTGAATTGTGCGTGACAAATGCTCTTGTGAAAGTTATTGTTAAGTTGTTGTTTGAGAAGACACGAAGAGAAATACTCTTAAATATTAAGAACGTTAAAAAGGTAGAGGCAGTTGTGGTAAATACTAAATAGTAGTGATACAAGAAGAAATAGTTAGACAAGCAGTAGTAGCAATAGTACTACTAATACTAATAGTATTTGTAGAATTTATAAGAAATACACTTAAGGATAGTTATTAAGTCATGTGTGTGTATGTTTTGTGTGTGTGTGTGTGCCTGTGTGTGTGTGTGTGTACGAGTTTGTGTGTGTGTGCATGCGTGTGTGTAAAATCATTTTGGTAGTAGAGAATAAGTGTAGTGTTTGTAGTGTTATTGTAGTATAATTACAATAATATTATCAAATATATTTGATAGTATCCAAAATATTAAACTTTAATATTTGTAAAGCGTATATTTATTTTATTGATAGCATTATAACAATATCATAATGCCATCTACGTTTCTATTGAAAAAGTAGTAAGAAAATTATAGGGCTTATTGTTCGAAAATCAATTAACAGTCTTCTTCAAATCAACAAAAACTGTTTGAGAGTGAGTGAGGGAAGAAATTATGATGGCAAAAAAAGAATGAAATGCCACTAGCACAGATACAACACCACACGCATACACGTATCAACAAATTAATAGAATATATATTGAAAAATTTAATCATTAAACATTCCATTAGTTGTCTTGCAGCTGTAGTATGTACATTTTAATGTTCAACTAAATTTTTTAACTATGAAAATAAAACTGCAGCAGCAGTAGCAAACGCAACGACAACATCCACAACATTTTAAAATTAATTTGAAAACATTTTTATAATTATTACCGTTATGGTAACTGAAATATCGTATCCATGACAAATAAGTTGTATGATTTAAATTTTGCTATGTCTTTTTTGCACGTGCAAACTGTTTGTATTTGTGAATAAGTAATCTGTATTGAGATGATCTGCGTGCACGTGTTTGTGTGTGTGTGTGTGCATGTGTACGTGAACATATGTTTGTACACATGCTTGTGTGTATGTGTGAATAGGTCATTCATTGTCCTAATAAAAATAGGTATAGTTTGAAATAAATAAAAAAATTTCATCCTTTTGCCAACATCCTCGCCATCTCCACTGTAAGCATCATCATCATCAGCAGCAGCGGCGGTAGCCCCCACCCACATCGTCGTCATCAACATCATTATCTTCATCACCATCACATTTTTATTATCGTTATCATTACCACGCACACACACACACACAGCAAATCTGAAGAGAAACAAGTGACAGAGACATGACAGACAGACGCATAGACAAACAGACAGACAGATAGACAGACAGACGCGCAGTTACAATACAAAAAGATGTACGTGAAAAATTTTGTCTGATTGTGTTTTTTTTTCATTTAGTATTGTATAAAAAAAAGGTTGTCTTTAATTTTAATAATTTAATTATAAGTTTTGATAAAATAATAGAATTATTTATAATACGTAGAAAGGTTAATTCCAAATTCATTTTTGGGAAAAAATTCGATGAAAAAGTTTTGGAAAATTACTGATAGAAAATATGCAAAAATATAAGAAACAAAAATGCAACGAGACTAACAAAGAAACAAGAAGCACAATATAACATGACAACTCAAATATGTCTTCCTGGTCAAGAAAACAAAACCAGGTGAACCAAATTCAACGTATTGACATAACGCAAACGAGTTTCATCACATCACTATGATCACCAAGACAGTCATCACCGTCATCATTATTATTATCACCATTAACATTGCACCACCATCATCATCATTGTTATCATCTGTTTCATCAGCAACGTAAAGTCGAAACAATGACAAAACACTCACTCGTACCTATTTCTTCATCACCATTTTCACCTCATCATATCTTACCATACATTTTTATTTACACCACCACACCACCCCACACCACACCACACCACACCGCATCACCTCCCTGCCATCAACAACTTAGATCCAAGACTTCCTTCATGAGCGGTTGAATACTTTCCGGGTTGACCTTCAAGAGAACTTGCGAATGTTCCTCGTTCAGGTTTCTGATATCGGTCAACTTCAACAGCAACTTGGGGAAGAGCACCCTCGCCATTCCAACAGGGTACACGGACTCCAGGTAACTCTTCAACAAACTGGAAAACCTTTCCTGCTCCTTTGCCACTAAAGATTTTTGCTCCAGATTTTCTCTATCCGGAGAAAAAAGCGAAATGACGAGGAGGAGAATTAGCGTGGTGTCGTCGGCGCACAGATCGAAAGCGAGCGACCTGACAAAGCGCATGTGGTCTTCGAAAAGATTCGTACCGAGTTCGGCCGTTTTTAACTGCTCGATTTTCATGGCCTTCGTTTCTTCCGGATCGACCGGATCGAGGAAGTGTTGTTTCTCTTTGTCGAAAGTGATGACGGAGCGAAGGATGAGGAGTTCGATGCTGCCTCCCTTCAGTAAGTGGATCTGCTCTTCTTGAGGCAGCAGTTTGAATGCTGGTACCTGCGTGCGATGGTGGTGAATGGTGATGGGGGTGAATGGTGATGGGGGTGAATGGTGATGGTCAGGATCATGTTGATGAAATTGACGATGTTAACGCTCTTAGTTAATGTGTGTGTGCGATTTTATTGTAGTAGTAAATAATAGCAATAGTGAGGCTGAATGTGAGTAAGAATAATCAATAGCTACACGGTCATGCCTACATTTTAGGTAATTTTTTAAAATTTGTATAATCGTCGTCATCATCATCGTCATTGTCGTCATCATCATCGTCATCATTACCATCTTAATCATCATCGCCATCATCATCGTCATCGTCATCATCGTCGTCATCATCGTCGTCATCACCTGTTTGGCCATGGCGATGACTCTTCTGACACTCAGCTCAGCTATGTTGACCAGGTCAGAAAAGTTAGCTTCGTGGCGGGAAACATCTCTCTCTATACTCACCTGATGATGATGATGGTGAAGATGATGATGGTGGTGATGGTGAAAATGATGATGGTGATGATGGTGGTTATAATGGTGAAGAAGAAGACGATGATATTTATGATTATAAATCATTGATCAGGATGAGTTCCATGTAAAAAAATAAAAAAAACGACAATGTCATCATCATCGTCATCATCATCGTAATCAAACACCATCATCATCTTCATCGTCATCATCGTCATCATCGTCATCATCATCATCATCATCATTGTTTCCAACCTCGAGTGAGTTACTGTAAGCCACATGCAGGTCATAGATGGCACTGCTGTCGGCCAGCGAAAGAGGGACAACTGACTGTGAGGGGACGTAAAGATGATGGGGAGGGGGGTTCTGGGGCGGATTTGGAGGGGGTGGAGGAGGAAGAAAGTGTGGGTGATGAGGGTGCTGGAGTGATGGAATGAATGGGGGGATGATCGGGGCGCCCATGCCTACCATGTCGTAGTCCAAACGTGGTCTCAATATACTGCAAGTTGGTTGGTTGGTTGGTTAGTTGATTAATTGATTGGTTGGTTGGTTGGTGTGGATAGTTGGTTGATTAATCGGTTAGTTGATTGGTAGTTTGGCTGGTTGGTTGGTTGGTTATTTCACATAAGGTTGAAGGATTGATTAAACGATTGATTGATCAAATGATTATAAATTTTATTAAATTAATCGTCAAATTTTAATTCCTCATTGTCACTACGATTATTATAAAAACCATCTATCATCAACATCACCACAATCATCATCATCAGCACTACCACCACCATCATCATCATCACTAGACGCAAGTCTTTGCGCGTATTGAGACAAGACGAGATTTATGCTGCGCCGAAGAGTTTTAAAAGATGAGACATTACATCGGGCTTATAAAAATGTATTAAAGATAAATTCACTTTTATTGGTATCAGTTTTTATATCATTGTTATTTCATTGTTATATATATATATATATATATATATATATATATATCGTCTTTTCCAGACTAGACTACTGCAATGGCCTTTTTTATGGTGTCACCAAAAGGTCTTTTTCAAAGCTTCAGTCAACAGAGAATCGTGCGGCCAAGCTGGTTTTGGGTGGTTCGTGGTTCGATCATGTTACGCCTATTTTGAATAGGTTGCACTGGTTGAGGGTTGAAAAACGCGTTTCCTTCAAGTTGGCAGTTTTGATGTTTAAATGTGTCAATAATACAGCATCTCCCTATCTCATCGATAGATTGGAATCATAAAAATCTCATTTTTCAAAATATTCCTTCCGATCAACCGAGCGCAATTTATTTTTTATCCCGACCACAAAGTTGGTGACGGGTTCCCGCAACTTTGCGATTCTTGGCCCGATTGTTTGGAATGGTTTACCTCCATACTTACGTGACCCTAACCTATCATATTTACAATTTCGAAGTCAACTTAAAACTTATTTATTTGCACAATGAATGTCCGTCTTATTTGTCTATGATTTAGTAGCGCTTTTGAGATTCAACATTAAAAAAGCGCTGTATATAAATTTCCGTAATAATAATAATAATATATATACTGAAACACATTCATTTATTCATTTATTTATTTAATCATTCGTTCGTTCGTTTGTTTGTTCATTAATTCATTATTAACGGCAAAATAATTAATCTTAAAAGTGATTTTATTACAGGTTTATTATCACCCCTTTTATCATCATCATCATCACCATCATCATCTTCACCAATCACCACCATTATCATCACCACTATCATCATCATCATTCTGATGAGTTATTTAATTAATATTGGTGGCATCGTCATCATCATCATCATCTTACGCATTGAAATTAAGCGCTATCATCACTATCATTATTATAAAATAATAATTATTATTGTTGTTCTTATTATTATTACAATTATTATTATTATTACTTTTGTAAACAGTCCTTCTAGGAATTTTTAATAGTCATTTAATCGCTTACATAAAACAAAATAAATAAATATACACACACACACACACACACACACACACACACACATATATATATATATATATATATATATATATATACTATATATATATACGTATATATATATATAATACCTAATATGACGTTGATATGACGTATATATGAGTTAAGTCGAGAAGTCATGTGACCAATGATGATGACATTAACGACGGCTTCATAATATTTTATGAAGCGATCTTGGGCCCAGACATCAAAATGCACATTAATTTTGATGCTTTATGTATGTTTGTCTGTGTGTACGCGCGCGCGTGTGTGTGTGTGTGCGTGTGCGTGCGTGCGTGTGTTTGTATGCGTAGTGTACCTACCTATGAACGTTTGGACTGAGCAGTGCGGATTTGATTTCTAAGTTTTGGATTTTCGTTGGTTTCTGTTTGATTTTGTTTAGTAGTTTATGTTCTTTGTTGTTTATGTTTCGTTCTTTATGTTTAGATGTTTACGTTTTGTTGTCCATTTTTTATTGTCCTATGTTTTATTGTCTATGTTTTGTTGTCTATGTTTTGTAGTCTGTTTGGAGTTTTTTCTAGAAAACTTAACAAATCCAATGAACCAGTGTTGCAGCCGTTCCAGAAATAGCATTGGGTTTGTTTGCAAGTTCGAAGTACATGGCACGAAAATTCACGTCCATAGAAGTAGTAGTGCGTTCTCAAATATCGTCTTTACATATTTTACCCCGATTACATTTATTACGCATTTAATATTATAATATAATTTAATAATATATTTTAATATATAATATAATTATAATTATATAATCATATACTGATTACATTAACCACATCCATCACGTCACATTAATTGTATTCATAACTTGTTGGTTTAATGTTAAAAGAACATTTTATTCCGCTTTCTTCTCAACATTTCTCATATTTTTTTTGCAATTTTAATTAATTATGCTATAATACTAATAATTATTATTATTTCATAACAATATTTTATTTAATTATAATTATTATTCTGATATAATTAGGATAATTAATTCGAAAAGTTAATAATTAACAATGGACTGACTCGTGTTCAATAAGGGTTGGTGATCGCTGCTGGTTGGCTGTCATGGGCATAGCCATCGAGAGTTGTTGTTGGTGGTGAGGATGGTGGTGATGTTGTTGTGGCTGCTGATGCTGCAGATGGTGGTGATGATGCTGTTGTTGGTGATGATGAGGATATGATGACGAGGGATGGTGAAGAGGAAGAGGAAAATGAGGGTGGTGATGACTGTTAGTAAGGTGGTGGTTGGTGCCTTGGTTATTTAAATTACTACTGTTGTTACAGTTGCTACTGCTTGTGGTACTGATGTTGTTGTTGTTGTTGTTGTTACTACTGCTGTTGTTACTTCCAGAACCCGTGGTACCACCACTGCTGCCAATGGCGTTGTTGTTGTTACTAACGTTACTACTAATACTACAGTTGTTGTTTCCGCTGTTGCTTGTGATGGCGCTGTTGTTGCTGGTGTTGTTGTTGGTGGTCGTGGTTGTGGCGTTAGATTTTGAGGAGGAGGAGGAGGAAGATGTTGCTGCTCCACACATTCTGCGCAGGTATCTGGGTGGTGGTGGTTGGTGGCGGTTAGTGGTGGTGGTTGGTGGTGGTTAATTGTTGGGGTAAAAATTATTTCGTTGATTACCAAAAACACAATTTCCATTACGAAAATAAGAAATTGATTCGGTAAACTCACTTTCAGATATGAATGTACAATACAAGAATGTCACATTTTAAATGCACACCTACTTACTGAACCTACATTACTAATAAATCATCTTAATCTCTCAAATAATTAATAAAAAACCAATTTTTTCAAGTTGTATGCTGAAAATACAACGAACAATTCTACAGGTTGGCGAGTCACTGCAAATTAACATGAAATAAATTAGCCAAAGAATTTCCAAATCTGATAACCCAGTTATACAGAGGTACGCAATCACCCGTGATAGCTCAAACGTGAAAATTTTGAAGGAGAACAACATTTCATGAAATTTTCCGCCTTCCCCCGTACATACTAACATTATTTAAATTATTTATTTAACAGACAAATTTTAGACCAAAAACTGACCCAAGTCAAGATACTTGCTTGTTACAGACCAGCAAGCAAGCAGGCCACACGAAATTATAACCAACAAAGATGGCCGGTACAATTCTGCAAACATTATCAACTACACAAAATAACAAGAAAAACAGCCACAAAAAACACAACCACGTATAATGACACACATAAACACACACACGAAATCATTCACAAACACACACACAAATATACACACACACATACACATGAAAACAAAAACATGCACACAAAATTTGTATACCCTGGTTTCAAGTACCTGTTGTCTTCGATCTTCTGCCGCTTCTGGGCCTTTTCTTCCTCAGAGAGTATGTACTCCTTTCTCATACCGATCTCGAAACATTTCTTCAGCCTGCACCTTTTGCAGAATCTTCTGTTTGATAGATCCATTTTGCATTTTTCGTCGTACGGGCATTTGAAATAGCCCTGTTTTAATTTGGATTTGAATCGTTTTTTAGTTTGGTCTTTATTCAGTCTGTTTAGTTTCGGTTTTATTTAAAGTTGTTTCAAATATACAATTATCATCCTCATCATCACCCTAATCATCGTCATCATCGTCATCATCATCATCATCATCATCGTCATCATCACATACCAATCCTTTGGGAGCATTCCGCCTGAAGAATGCCTTACATGACTCGCAGGAGATCGCATCAAAATTGAAACCGAGCGCTTTATCTCCGCACACTCCGCAGATTTTTTCCTCTTTGTTTTTCCGGTTCCGGTTTTGTCCCGATCCATTTCCGCTGGACTGAGATGATGGTGACGTGTCAAGAGGATGTTGATGGTGATGATGGAGATGTTGGTGGTGTTCGCTACCCGGTGGTGGGCAGTACATTCCCGACAGACTACCGCTTCCGGTTAGTGAATCCGGATCGACCTTGACCTCGAGATCACGTGGGTAGGCCACCATGGAAGTGTCGTATCCGTAGTAGTCACGTCTGCTTCCGTCCAATCGAATGCCTGCAAATGAAATTAACTTTTGAGAATTGTTGCGATAGATGGGGTGAGAAATGAAGGTGGTGATGAAAATGATAACATCATATCCGTTGACGACAGTGATGATGATGATGATGGCGGTGATGATGATGATGATGATGACGACAGTGATGATGATAATGATGACGGTGATAATGATCATGGTGATGTTCATGATAACAGTTTTTCGTTATGCCGAAATGAATCATTAAACAAATTATTATTAATAAAATATTATTATTTAATTATTTATTTATATTGATTATTGTTAAAACTTTTAATAATTAATCACTAATTTTGTTACAAATAATTAAAAAAATTTCTAAACAAATTGATTACAAGAGCATTCGATTCGTGAAGTGTGTTTAATATAAACGTTAATGGCTTCAAATCAGTCGTTAATTTGAATCAATGCGTGCCGGAAGCTGAAGAACAAAAATGCGGGCTAACTCCACGCACACACACACACACATTACACTCAAACGCACACGCACACACACACATACATACACACATCCCATGTAACGCACCACACGTACGTTCATCACACATACACAACATACTTTAAATAAATAGTATGTGTATGTGTGTGTGTGTGTTGTGTGTGTGTGTGCGAGTGTGGTACATGCATGCAAATGTGCGTGATTGCATGTAGTTGTTGATGTTAAGTTTTGGTTTTTTGCAATACACTTATATGAGTTTACTTGGGAGAAATTGTTGAGCAGCATCAGATAAGGCAAATATTTTCTTACTTGCACATGCGGTCTTGAATAATAATTTGGATAATTTAAATCTTAACTTTGCGACCAATAAAATAATTAAACAATAAAATATTTTTAAAATATTGTTAATATATTATTATAGATATTATATTATTATTCAAAAAATACTGAAATTATATCCAAGGTATCATTTAGCTATATATCATGTCTCAAATATAGAAAAATACTCAGAAATTATGAATTATTATTATGTCTATTTTTATATTTCTTTTGTTCTAATTTAATTTTTAATGGAATAATTCATAAAATTACAACAATAAATATAAGCAAACATATATATTTGTATATGCAATTCAATTCAGATGATAAACAGTTCGGGGATGTATGTAAGTAATCATACATACACTCATATTTATATTTTATACAGTGTTGTATGAATTCTATCGAATTGTTGGCATTAATCAATTTAAAGTTTGTCTTCTCAATTTTCTTTACTAAAATGTTCTAGAAATTGTTTAATTTATTAAAAGTAGAATTATTATCCAAGTTCATCATGAAAATTTAATGAAACTGTAGCTATCCAAACTCATCATGCAGATGAGTATGTTATAGGGCCTATGAACAATTCCAACAAAATTCTAGTAATATTTATAAGATGTGTGTGCGTGTGTGCGTGGGTGCGTGCGTGTGTGCGTGCGTGCCTGTGTGTGTGTGTGTGTGTGTGTGTGTGTGTGTGTGTGTGTGTGTAAGGAATGATTTTAAAACGCTAAAAAGTTTTCTATTCATTAGCAATTGCAAGTACACCGGGTGGATTAGTGACTGCGCGCGTGTGTGTTTAGCCATTGTTCAGTGCAATATTTATAAATGTGAGTTTGTTTGTGAGTGTGTGTGTGTTGTTGTATGTGTGTGTTGTTGTATGTGTGTGTGTGTGTGTGTGGGTGTGTGTCTGTGTGTATGTGTGTGTGTGTGTATGAATAAATGTATATGCAAGTATGTTTGTATGCATGTATATGTTTGTAATTAAGTATGTATGTGTATTTATGTTTGGCGTATATGTGTATTTATGCGGTTATTGTACGTACGAGTGTGTATGTTTTTATATGTGCGTATGCGTGTTTTTGTGTGAGTTTATCTACGTGCACGTGAATAAGGTTAGTTAGAAATCAATGAGTTAATCTGTTTACATGGCACGGTGTTTTTGTGACCTGGACAATCATTCAATCCTTTTATTCATCCATTATTTTATTTCTTTTATTTAATTATCTATTCCATCTATCCTATTCAAATATCGATCATAATTTTTACATGAATTCAATCACTCATTTACTCTTTAGTTCCTTTGTTTTCACTCATTCATTGAATCACTCACACTTTCATTCATTCATTCATTCATTTGTCAATCCATTCATCATTTCATCCTTTAGATTCATCCATCAATACTTGGACCGTCCGTCCATCTATCCATCTCATCCATTAATTTCACCCCAGAACACAACAATGCCTTGCCTAATGACAGAACAACTAACACACCAAGTACAGTACAATTAACTGATGGATGGATAGATGGATGGATGAATGGATGGATGAATGGATAGTTTGATGGATGGATAGTTTGATGGATGGATAGTTGGATGAATGGATGGATAGTTGGATGGATGGATGGTTGAGATGATTGATGGATAAGCGGAAAGACAAATTGATGGATGAACGCGATCGTGAATAGACAAATGAATGAATGGATATATTGATAGTTGAATGTATATATATATATATATATATATATATATATATATATATATATATATTATATATATATATATACATGGATGAATTGATGAATAAACAAATAAACGAATTAATGAATGAATGAATGAAGGATAGCTTGTAAGTAACGAGTAAGTGGTAGTTACTCTCTATAACACAACAATGCGCGTCAGTCAGTAATTAAATGGAAAGAATAATAATTGCCGTATTATTGTATTTATTTTTTATTATTGTATTTATTTTTTTATTATTGTATTTATTTTTATTATTGTATTTTTTTATTATTGAATTCATTTTTTTCATTTAATTATTTTTTTTATTAGTTTTTTTAATACTATTTCATATTATTATTGCTTTTTGAACATTTAAATTATTATCCCATATTAGATACGAGCACATGGATTTAATTGTTAAATGTTATGTTATGTTAATGTGATAGAGAAGGAGAGAGAGAGAAAGAGAGAGAGAGAGAGAGAGAGAGAAAGCGAAAAAAAAGAAAAAAAATAGAAAGAGAGAGAAAAAAAAGAGAGAAAAAGGGCGAGTATTCTTTGTTTTATTGTCGTCGATCTAGGCATATTTAATAATAACTCCAGAAGTAACTGAACTATCCTATAAATTACTCTGTTAATTTCAGGCTATTCTTAATATGACAATATAAAAGTTGAAAAAGTTCATAAAAGATATACATTAATTTATTTTTGTGGTAATAATGACTTTTAATTTTTAGCATTTTCCAGGTAAATTGTAGTTAACATATGCCGGTAACGTAAAGAAAATTCAGAAATTTCGACGACTTGATTGATCATTAATGACTTAGTTTCTATGTTTAACATTAACAATCACGTCACTTTTTTTAAACGAAGATTTTTTTATACTAACATTAATACGATTATATCATCTTTATAATTTTTTTGTCATCATCATCGCCATTAGAGTCAGAATGTCGAAGTTGGAGTTGGAAAATTTTATTCGGTTCCTACACTACGAATAGAATAATCAAACTCAGCGTTGGAGTTTTGTCTCTAAATCTTAATTCAGGATCACGTCAATATAAACTTGAATGTTGAAATCAGTATCATTTGTTCTCATTGTTATATGATCATCATCTTCATCACCTTCATCATCATCATCAGTATTTCAATCATCATCTTCACTACTATCCCTTCCACCATACTCATTGCACTCCTTTCAATCATCATCATCATCACCACCATCATCATCACCATCATCATCACCACCATCATCATTACTATTCATCATCACTATCATCATCATCATCATCGTAATCACAATCATCATCAACAGTAGATGCACTTGGAGGCAAGACTGAATAAAGATTACAAAGTCACTTTTAGTTTTGTTCTTACTATTCTGGCTTTGTTTGTTTGTATGTATCCTTGTGTGTATGTATGTATGTGTGTATGTGTGTGTGTGTATATATGTGTGTATATTTGTTTGTTTATATGTATGTAGTTTGTATGTATGCGTGTGTGTGTATATGTATGTACATATACATGTATGTATATATGCTAGTTTTTTTGTATGTTTATAGATACATGTACGCTCCCAAGTGTATGTTTATACGTGTTTGTGTTTATGCTCCGATGTTTGTATATTTTACGTGTAAGTTTGTCTACACATGAAGACAAATTAGTCTGTGTATGTTTGTATATGTATGTGTGTGAGTTTTTGCGTGAGTTATTGTGGGTTAGTAGGTGTTGTGTGTGTGTGTAATTGTTTGTCTGTCTGTGTGTGTGTTTTCACTATTTTCTTCATTTATTTTCTGTATATAATCTTTTTTCATTTTAAATTTAAATTTTTTTTCGAATTTATATAAAATTTTGTTCTTTTTGTAAGCTGCCATTTTCGGTGCAACCATTAAGTAATTTACTGTCTTATCCATATGTACCATTTTATTCATTCATTGTTTTTTTCTTCAATCTATCTATCTTTCATTCATCCCTTAATTGTCCATCTATCCATCCTACCTGCATTATTTGTCTATCTTTTCGTTTGTCTGTTTAAAGTTCGTTCAGTCATTCGTTCGTTTGTTTGTTCATTTGTTCATTCATTCATTTGTCTGCCATGCCAATCATACAACCTTCAAACTCTTCAAACCAGTAAAGAAAAACACACAAAGATGAAACACACATGAACAAACGATAGATGGATGGATGGATGGTAGGATGGATGGATGGATGAACATGGGAATGAATGGATAGATAGATAGATAGAT